CGGCGCCTCCGCGGCCGCCGCCATTTCGCGCTCTGCGCGGCGGGTGAGGCGGCCTCGCGGCGGCGGCGGCTCCGTGGGCGCCCTGGCGAGCGCGCCCTCTGAACGTGCAAGAGCAGGAATAAAGCAGCCCAAAGCGGGCCGTAAATCCCCGTGCCCCCCCTCAGCAGCAGCTGTCTCACAGCCCTGGTCCCAAAGGGGACTCTTTCAACCGCGTGGACAACGGAGGCTTTGGGACGGAGAGATGCCCCCAGTGGAGCTGCCTGCGGGAAACATCCGTATCAGCGAGCTGCCTTGGGRCGCCGCGCAGCCAAGCGGGGCTCCCCGCCCTGCCGCGGTGGCGGGATGCGCGGCGGGTCCCGCGGATCCCGGCTCGCCCTGGTGCTCAGCCGCAGCTGGATCCCGGGCCGGATCCCGGTGCTGGGCGCGGAGCGACGCGCGGCCAGCGCTCCCTTGCCGGTCCTCGGACGCTCGGCCCCTTCAGGCCTGCCTGGTTTGGAGCATATATGTGCGCTTAGCTGCTCCAAAAGGAGCCAGCGAAAACCTGCCCTCCGTGTCCGCTCTGCGACCCCGGCGTTTGGAATGCTGAGGAATTGCCATAGGACCTGCAGCAGGAAAAACGTTTTTGTAACTCTGAATCCTTAGAATCCTTAGATCAGTCCTTAAGTTAGAATTACCTATTGCTTTCTTTCTTTTTTTTTTTTTTTTCAGTAGACATGATTACTATTTTTTCCTGATACATAAATTTTAATATTTCGTATAAAATCATTATATTGTTGAAATGCATGCTTTTTTTTTTTTTTTTTTTTGCCTAAGCACTTCTGGAACTGCTTAACCTGGCTTGTAATTACACTTGAAAATCATTAGAAAGTAATAACTAACTTGGGACTTCAGTATTCTCGTTGTGTAACTATTGCGTTGTATTAACAGGTAACGGGAGTTGAAATGACCTAGAGAGCCTGCAAGAAACGGACTGCAAAATGAACTCCTATCACTTGAGGCTGAAATGAGGTACTATTTTCAATGGTTTTGAGTCAGATTGCTCCTTCTGAGGTAGTCTGGATGTTCTAGTTGCCTACTCTTTGATGGGACGTAGAAATGGGTAGGATAGGTGGCTTTTTGTGGTGGTCAGATTCATAGCTCTGTAGAGGAGCATCTTTTTTTTTTTTTTCTTTTTTCTTTTTTCTTATTCTGTGCTTTGCAGAGAGGTGAGGCCATATGTATTTTGTTCTGAATGAGTATATTTTGTTCAGTTTCTATATGTACTTATACTTTCTATATCTCAAAGTTTAGTTCAAAGGGATCTAATGATTGCAGATCTCTTTGTGGACAGTCAGTTATTTGTGCAACTTCATTTTATTTAACACAAGGCCTTGAATAACTGATTTTCTTTAGGGATATCTGAGCAAACGGCTTTAGTTTGTAGTTATAATTTCAGTATCAGAATACAACAGTTGTTGTAGACTATTTGTGGGACATGCCCACCCCTGAAAAGTGACCAGCTACATTTTTATTTTTATATTGACTATATTTGACAGGAAAATTGAGTTTGCAAGAAAGTTATAGATGGAAAACAAGCTATGGTCTGCTGGAGCAATTTATCTTGCTTTGCTTAGCTCAAAGAGGCTTCATAACTAGAGGAGGTACAGCAAGAAACAACATGTGAATGTAACAAGTTGTATGAATTGGTTTTTGGTGGGTTGAATCTTCTCTTCAAGAGGTTGGTTCTTGGGCCTTGGGTCAAACGTCTGCYCTTTTTATTGCCCACAGTTCCAGTGCTTCTGTTAAACTTTATAATAAAGTTTTATTTAATTTTCTAAAAGCTTATGCAATTCACTAGTATAGGTGTAGCACTAAATTAGGGCACTTTACACCTCTCAGCTGTTAGGTTGTTTGCAAAGATGGTAAGTAGTTACCTTTGAGTCACGTTTCCTCTGCTTCTCTTTATGGTTAAAAGGCACAGTCAGTTCTACGTATTTAAAAATAATTTACAGATAAAATCTTTTGAAAATGAAAAATCTGGGAAACAAAGATACAATTATGCCTTTTGCACAGCTTTTTGAAGCACCTTTGCTAATTCTGGTGCGTGCAGAGTTAAGGACTCAAAATGTCCTTAAAACCTGTTCTTATTTCATTTGAAGTTGGCAGTGAGTTGATGGCAAATAAAGGACAGGTTCTGTGAAGAGAGACAACCTGTAAAGAAYGAAAGTCAATATCTTAAAACAGGTCCGCATATTTTGTATTGCTGTTTACATGATGTTCAWTTTAGTCACCTGGAGTAGTAAGTTCTGTTTCATCTGTGGGAAGATAAATATTAGGAACTTACGAAATCAGCAGGAACTTTTTTTAGCAGCTGAGACTATGAGGAGGACTGGTTGTTTTTGTTTGCTTATTTCTTGAAAKACTTCACATAAATTCTTCCTCTGAGTCCAGCAAGCTTTGAGGCAAAACAGGTTTCCTGACTAAGTGTGTGTGACCGTCTTGTCAGTGGAGTTGCTGCTGGCTCTGTGCAGGTGAGATTACTGAGCTGCTGCTGGGTCACGAGACGTCGGGGCATTTCATGTTGCTGTGACCGAGAGCTAAAGCTGTTAGATACGTGAGCAAACTTGTGCTTTTCAAGCAAAGTTTCCTGTTTCACATTTGTGGATTTTGTATAACGCTTCGCTTGAAATCCTGAATGTTTGTCCAAACTTTGTGTGGTTAATTAAGACAGTACTGCCTTGAACAGAAATGCTGTGTGTACTGTCAAGTATTGCAAGTGCAGAGGATTTTTTTTTCAGGGTCTTCTTTTTTTTAATGTTTACTTTATAAATAATAGAGCTTTAAGTAGGTGAGCTTTAGCATACAGTTTAGAAAGACATTCAGTCTTCGTATTAGAGATGAAGAAAAGGTGCAAAAATGTAAAGTCTAACCTGTTGSATTGTTTGGGTTGTTGGATTGATTGAAGCTTGGGTGCCCTTCATTTCTTCTCAGTTGTTAATTTTTTTGTAGTAAGTGGTTACTTAAATCTGATTTGGTTGCTTGCTTTGACAGTTACTTAGTATCTTCTTGCTTTTGACAGAATGTCACATACCAAAGGGGTTTTTTCATTATTATTATTTGCTAGAATGTTGTGTAAATCTTTACTGCAAGATTTTTTTTTTTTTGGTTTTGTTGCTATTTTAAGTTTCTGCAGTGTAAATAGAGGAATGGACCTGCTTTTACATTTAGGATACCTGTAGAAAATCTAGTTTTGTATGTTTATGTTGTTGTCCAGATGATGCATTTTGTTAAATGCTTCCCCTCTCGCCCTTCTCTGCTCTTTACAGGTAAACAAAAACTTCAAGAATGATCATTTCACTGGCAAGTTTCAGGAAAAGGACACCTCAGGCTACTAAATAAGGACTATGGTATGAGAACTATTTCAGATAAACTGTCCAAAAGAAGTTAATGCTTAGTGGCTGTTACATGCCGCTGTTGAACTCTGTGTTGTGTGACCCTCCCTACTCCTCCRCGGTCCTTTATGTGGTATGTTTGGAGAGAAAGAGCTGATAAGCTTATTTGTCTTGGATAGAGTGAGTTGTGGGGAAGTCGGGGTTACGTCTCTTCTTTGGGGAATACACCCTCCTCTTCCAACCCATCTCTAGCTGAGTAGATGACAAACATTACCTAAAACCTGTGCCCTGTGCTATAGGCTAGAGCCCTGCTGTTGTGTGAGAGGGGTGAGGAGGCAGAATAGACCTGCATGGAGGAGAGCAGGAGAGCTAGGTGCAGACTTTCTAGGAATTGTTGGAAGGGGATGGATTTAGGTCAGCTGGCTGACAGTAGTGGCTTGGGGAAGGGCTCTGATGGTACCTGCAAAAGCAGGGCCACGTCAGCGTGTGCAGGACGTGGTTTAAGATTCAGAGGTTTTGTAGAAGCGCATACCTGGCCTCAAGGGCACTGAGTTTCTGTTCAGGCACGTCTAGGCTGGGGAAGCCTGCAAAGAAAAGCTTGAGCTGTGAAGGGGATTCACAGCTGCTGAACGTTTTGTTGCTGATTTGTGTGTGTGACCACAGCACGTTCACTGCAGCTATTGCTTCTCCAAAGGCTGACAGGCAGAATTGCCCTTTTGGAGGGAAATCAGGGGGCTGCCTTTCACCTTAGGGTTGCACTGTGTTTGTCCTTCAGCTCTGAGCTCATCTGCTGTGAGGACAGTTGTACCAGGACGGTTCAAAGAACTCTTTAACCTCTACAATTGTGTTGTAGAAATACCTAGAAGAACATATTCAAGCTTAATACATAAATCAGACAGTATAATTTAAACCACTTTAATACATCTTTGTCTGTGCTGACGCTTTGTGTGTCTGTGTGTGTATAAGTGTATGTGTGTGCGTGAAAGAAATTACAAAAGAAATTACATGTCAAGCAAGAGTTACTCCAGTGAAAAGCTGGAAATACTCTAACAGAAAGCTGAAAACTGGACAGCCTTCTGTGGGGGGCAATCAGTGCTGTAGCTGAAATCTTCAAGGCAGGGGCTAGATTTCCAGACCCATTTTTTCCTTCCCAGGGTGACTTAATTCTTCTGAATTTTCAAAGAATAGTGCAGGGTGCTGAAGATGGTGTGGTTGAAACATTTTTGCTATGCTAATAGAAAATATTTCTTCCTTGCAGCAAAAGATGATATCTGCGTTCTTGCTCATTGTCTATTTAATTCTAGTGACGTCTCCGTTCAGTGCTGGTAAGTTACAGAGGTTGTTAAAATTGCCATTCTAAAAAAAGAAAGCCTGTTAAGAGACAAATTGTGTGTATCTGGTAGAAAAGAGTTACCAGTATCAAGTAGTGGGTTTGAGGTTTGCATATTTTTGCTTCATCATATTGATGGTATGCCAAATGCTTCTCTTTAGATTGAAGCTATACTTGACATGGAACARCTTAACATAAACATATTTAAATCTAGCCACATTCACTTGAAGATATTGAGGCTTTTAAAGTCCTCTCTATATTTCATATGGAAAAAAAAAAAGGAGATTAGAGTGCTCAAAGTTAGTTGTTGTATGAGACATGCTTTGTGTCTAGTCTTGAATGGACATATATCTATGGCTGATTTATTTCTGCAATTAAATAGTMTTTTTTAATGGCAGATTCATTTTTTTCAGTAAAGTTTAAGATTAAATAACTGTGGATGTTTTGCTACTTTTGGTATAAGTAGTCTAACAGATCTGAATTACTTTATCATCCATATGGAACTACTTAGGAATTTTTAAATTAGTTGACAGGAAGGTGAAGGGTGAAAACTGTCTTCTGAAACTGAAAAATTTGGCTTTGCATTCATACAGACATTCACTGCTATTTTTCTCTTCAGATAGAATTTTTGCAGTACTRTAGTATCTCAGATTTGCACATATATGCAACAAATTTGAAAGCTTTTAAGATTTGATTTTTGACCAAATGTCTTGCTTGCCTAGGGTAATCTGGTATTCTCCAAACAGTTTTGAATTGCAGATTTGTGTTCTTGAAGACTTCTTGTACTATCTCTTTCCTCTTTCACCACTGGCTAATTGAAAATAGAAAAGAAGAGGTTATATCTTACAAACTTGTTACATAGCCATAGTTGTAAAAATGCTGTTTATGCTTGGCTTATTGCTTAGTGTGGTGTTCCCAGCCATCTTTGTCATTTAAAATAAATTATTGACAAAGAGGAGATAAATTGGAAAACTAACAAGGAAATRAGGTTTTTACAGACTTCATTGATGTGCTGTAGCCTTTATTTCTTGTTTTTCCAAGTCAAAACCTCTTCTTTTTTTTTCCTCCTAGCTTGTTTCTGACTCCACCATCAGGATGTCCAGAGTTCTGTGAGGAGCTCTGGACTGCTAGTGTTTATGCTATGCTACAGATAGCATCTTCATTAACAGTTTGGTAGCTCTGAATAAGTACTAACATACTCAAATAAGCAAGGACAGGAAAGATTAAGTTCTGAACTTTGTGTTGCCTGTTAAATCACATTTATCTTTATATATCATGATTTACAGTGAGGCTTTTGGACTTAAACACATGTGTCGCTACCTACTTTAAGAAAGGGAAGTCGTAACCTAAGCTTTGTAAAATACCTGGTTTAAATCTTCAGACAGAAGGAGCTAAACAAATGAAAAAGRGTAATCTCACACTCTTTTGATGGGAGATTATTACAGAAAGATTATTTCCCAATTCTGTGCAGCCAGGAATGAATATTAATGCTCCTAAAAATACTTTAAAAAGTACAGATTGAAAACACTGTTAACATTGTTTTCKCTTTTAACAGGAGAGTGCGTTATTTGTGATTACTTTGTGCTTGTTGGAGAGCCTATGGCTGTTAGATGTCCAATAGTTACATTTCCAGAGCTTCACTCGGATTACAATCTGACATGGTACAAAAATGGGAGCATTACACCAGTGACCACAGAGAAACAGGCCAGAATCCATCAGCGAGGTGGCTTGCTTTGGTTTATTCCTGCAAGACTGGAAGATTCCGGACTTTATGAATGTGACGTGAGGTAAAGGAGCTGGGAAACTGCTATATTGCTGATGTGTACAATGCAATAATAATATCCATGGAACTTGAGCAGGGTTTTGTTTTTGGTAGACAACTTGCMTAAGTTAGAAGAACTGTTTTGATATTGCTTGTTGTTTCTATGTGCAACACTTTTTTTTTSCTTTCACAGCAGTAGAATTTATAGAATTTGTCAGTTCATACATGAATTTATGTTAAAACACAGTAAGATTTACAATAGAGTGTATGTATATGCATATGGTTTATGAATACTGTAAGCTCAGGAAGAATAGTGTAAACTCAGGAAAAAGTAACAAATTCAGCCTTTTCTAGTTCATTTTATTTTTTGTTTATTCCTGACAGATCAAGAAAACATTTTGGTTTTCTTGTTTGTTATAGCTAAACAGGGGARGAGCTAAGGAAAGCAAACTCTGTATGTTATATAGGTATTGCCATACGCAGACTTTCTAGTGGGATCAGCAGCTTCAGGGGAGTTTTTAGAAATATGGAAGTCCAGACACAGAGAAACATTTTTATTTGCCATATTTCAAAAGTTTTCTCAAGTGTTAGTAGATGAAAATTAGAAGATCATTTTTTTGAACATCAAGGTAATGTGTTAGTGTCTCAAAGTCCTAGGTGCATGGAGAAGAAAAAAAGAGTAGATAATTTCTCATGAAATAACTTTCTTGCAATTTTAAAGCTCTTTTATCTAATGCTCAGGTTATTGGGTTGGACTTGACTGCTTTAGGTTGTTGAGTCTTCCATTTAATGGCTGAAATTAACTGTGTGATGAATAGGAAATTAATTTCTGGAAAGTGCACAGAAATTTTTCTTGCCACAATGTACTAAAAACAGCCAGTGCAGGTTTCTGAGATGACCCAAAATTTGTTTTAGCAGTGTGTAGCTCACCTGCTGAACTGAAGGCTTTTGCCTTGTGGATGAAATAACCGTGATGGGTAAGAAATCCAGTGCAGGCAGTGATCATAGGCTGTTGCATGTGCTTATTTCAAAGTCAACTGGGAATTTGAAGCTGGAAGAGGGAAGGAATGTAATCCCTTCCAAGTTAGCTAGAGTTAAGTAATAAATATAAACTTAGTCTTTCTTGCACTGCTTCTAGTCAGTCTGTCCTTGAGATATACTCCCTTGGGTACCTTGTGTCTTTCTAGGTCTAGCTTGCATAATGCTGCAAAACACACAGAAGTTCAGTTCAGATAGTTAAAGAATAGTCAAGGATAGCTAACTATCTGCAAGGATAGTTAAAGAGCATTCCTTGCTCATAGCTTGGACTTCTGGGTTCCAGTGTCATCCCTCTTTGGCAGAGTTTCTGCTGCACTGCAGGCACTCATGTCAGTGTCCTGTGAAATCTCACATGGAAGCAGTTTCATGTTGGCATTGCACCTTGGTACATCTTGTTTTCAAAAGCTTTTCTCTCTTCTGTAAGGAGTTACAGTCTGTTTTCCTTGAAGTGTCCTTCCTTCAGGGAATATCATCAGGGAGCYGAACCCATCTTCTTCTTTTCCACTTGAGCTTGTTTGGGACTGAAGTTCCCGTATTTCTAGTAACTGAAAACTCCTGCGTGTTGGCAAAGAAAACCCTGAAATGGGAAGGGTGATGGGGACATTGTGGGGCTTCAAGAGCAGGAGCTGCTTCTATTTACTACTCAACATGGGAGCTTATTGCCATCTCTCTTGAGCTGGTGCAAGGCTGGAGGTGCAGACGTTCCTCTGCGCCCCGACATCTCCTCTCCATGGATTGCCTGGCTTTTTGGAAACAGTGTCCTTACTGATAGTGACTTGAGTCAATTACTTTTGTCGTTGCAGGAGACTTAACCACTCTAGCAAAAAATCTATAAATCTAACGGTTTTTAAGAATGATGATGGTTTGTGTTTTAACGGAAAAATGAAGTTTGAACAAAAAGTGATGACCACACATACTGGAAAGATTATATGCCCTGATCTAGAAGATTTTAGGGATGAAGACAATAGTGAGCCCGAAGTACACTGGTATAAGGTATTGTGCACCTATATTTGGGGTACAGAAGATAGAAAATGTTCTGTTATTTAAAATGTGTTATGCAGTAGCAACTACTGAAAAGAGAGGCTTAGTCTCTACACAGTGTAAAGTGTCTGTCTTGCCATATTATTGGAAAAGTGTTCAGAATTGTAAAAGAGGCATGTTTTAAAGAAACAAGTTATCAATTTTAATTGCAAGGTCTTTCAGAGTCAGAGATGTGTAATTGCATCTATCTTTGGTTTACTGATTAGTGAAATAATCCAATTTCACTTCTTTTATCCTCCTGTTTTGTTATTGATATTGGTATTTATTTTYTTTAGCGGGTGAGTTTAAAAACTTATAAATTTTGTTAAATATTAAGTTCTGCCTAGCTATATCAGCTTCACAGAAACCATGTTCGTCATGGTGTATTATGRAATAGTATCAATGATCAAAGGTAATCAGGCATAATCAGAGCGTCTTGCTCTGATCCTGGAAAAATTCTCTGTGGACTGTGCAGGCTTGGAAATGTGTTCTGCCAAAATAACCAAAAATTCTAAAGTCAACACAAAATTCTAAAGTCAACTCTTGATTCTGATGCTGTTTTTAGATACCTATGTTGCCTGTATATTACGTACGAAATATCCCCAGTGCTGAACCCGAAGCACCTCTTTTTTGGGGGCAAAATGATTCTAAATTCTTAAGGGAGGAAAGAGAAAGGAGTTTTTTCCTGCATTTGCCTTTCTGCAGAAATGATAATATGCCCAATAATATGGAATGCTGCTTACAGAAGCTATGGTGTCTCTGTGTTGTAGAAATGTAGGCATGCCTTCTCTTAAGCCTTGCTACTGGGATAATAACCTTTTGTCCAGGTGGGTGGATGACTGACAAACCAGTAGTTAAAATAATGGTCACCGTTTCTGTTAAAATACAGCATCTGAAAGCTTAAGGATTGGCTGCAGCAAAGGTGCAAATGTGGCCAGACATTATCAGGCTTCTTATTCGGGTATTGTGAGTGTTGGAGAAGATGCCTATTTTGTTTTTTAAGAAGATGGGTATTTGTTTTTATGTGAAAATGTCACTTGTTTGGCAACTATTGTAAGGATCAGCGTAGTATATAATTTCATGGAATCAGCAGTATTTTTGATATATTTAGGAATGTAAACCTGGCTTCCTAGAAGACAAGCGACTTGCCTTGGCAGTTGGTGAAAATGCCGTCTTGATTCACAGTGTAACTGTACAAGACAGAGGAAACTACACGTGCCGTATGGTATATACACATATGGGAAAACAGTATAACGTTTCACGGACTGTGAGTCTAGAAGTTAAAGGTGAGTGGATCGAGGTTTTTCCTCTCTTTTTGAACTGTGCTATAATTACTTCTCTGCAAGCATAAGCTTATATGCCAGTTTACTGGAAAGCATATTTTGTTCTGTGAAATTACAGCTGCAAATCTTTTCTAAATTATTTTTGTCCTCAATAGTAAAATTAAAATTTAGTAATGTGTGTTGCAACATGATTTCTTCTGCCACACACTTTGGATTAAGTTTTGATTATTTTAATTATGTTTGAGTGGGTTTACCTTTAAGAAGCGTTCCGTTTCCATTTGAATAAAGATGGGAATGAAGCTTTATCTGAATCCTTTATGTGTATTTACAGATGAAAAAGGAGGARAGAGAATTAAAGGCAATCCTTAACAGGATTTTGGGGCTTTGTTTCTTGTTATTTGGGACAATTTAGTTAGTTTTAAACTGGAAGGGAGATACAGGCGGAACCACATGCCAGTGGCAGCGATGGATTCCTGGCCAGAATTGCTCTATTCTTTGCAAGTATTTTACATTTTTCCTTTCCTTGCTGAAAGATTGGCTATGCCAAAACCCACAAGAATAAAGATGGCAGGTTCATGGCTGAAAACATGTGTGTTTTTTTTTTTTTTTTTTTTTTTAACAATCTTTGGGAAATTCAGGAAGGAACGTTGGCTGAACTGCCAGTAGATCCTTCTATCTTCTCAGCTGTAGTTGCTGGCATTTGTCTTGCTTGTTGCTGCCCATCTGGGCACCTGAGTACTACTGAGGAAGAACTGAGAGAGAGAAATGAGAAATATAGGGTTAGGAATGAGATTTAGTGGGAAGTAGTGGTGACTTCAGTAAGGAGTGGCAGCACTTGGTAGGGAAACATAAAATTTCCCTTTTTTTTTTTTTTTTTGAAATATAAGTGAGTTGTGGAATATTTAATACCTGAAGAGTTTATTTTTCTCTTTGTTTCTGTTAGAAAGCCCTCAACAAATAAGACCAGAGTTTATTTATCCAAAGAACAACACAATTGAAGTGGATCTTGGTAAGTAGTGACTATTTAAGAAATTATTAACATTTAGTAGACAGATTGAGCTCCTGCACTTTCTGCAGTTGCATGATAACAGTTCCATTGACTTCAGCAAGACTGGGAGGTGGACAAGTGGACTGAGGATATCTGGAAGACAGATGATATAACACAATTCCCGTAGGTAATTTGCAGGGATAAAACTGTATGMTTGAGATTAGAGTCTCTTGACCAGCAGTGTCAGGTAGGATGCATATATCTTATGATTCTTACCATCTCTCCTTTGTCCCAGTGGCCATGTCTTGACATATCCGCAGTATTTGTGGAATATATATATATATGTTAACATAGTTGTGGAATATATATATATATGTTAACATAGTTGTGGAACATATATATATATGTTAACATAGTTGTTAGTTGGTCCATTCATTAGTTTTTCCCTTTCCTTCATTCTGAAGTTACCAGGTTCTGGTGAGGATGAGTGAAATTTGACCAAAACAGTGAATTGGCTCTAATAGAAATTATGTTCCTTCAAAGTCCAGAAGACTTTACTTTAAACAAGAGAGTGTACCTGAGGAAAAAAGATCAGCATCTGATGCAAACAGTATTATTCTGTAGTCTTGTAGTCTGGCATGTCTTCAGGTAGTCATTTAATTCTGTTTCAAATACTCAGAAATGGCTGTTGAGTGTACCCACACCTTCCTCTCTGCTAGTAATTACAGCTTCTCTGTCTTCATTAGAATAACATTCTAATGTTAAAAATATCTATTTTTCTCTCCAGCTGAAAGGAAATGTACAGATCTCAGTCTGAAGCAGGGAGACTTATCATAGTCATTTTTTTACTTCATATAACCTTTTCGCTAGGCTTTATGTGTTTTATGTGTAACTGTGGAAGTGAGGTAGTAGAAGGGTTCAGCGTACTGAATCTCCCTCCCATTACACCATCATGAAAATCTCCTCCCAGATTCTTACTGATAATCAATACTATGTTCCCATTTAATTTGGAGAAATTCTTATCAGTGCAAGCTCTACTAAGAAGAAATCTGACCTTTCAATTCAAAGGCGTTTTTATTTACTAAAGACATATCCTTTATTTTTTTTTCAATTCTTTCATAGTACTTGTTGAGAGAATGGAGAATCAAGCCATYACCAGCCCAGAGGCTGTGACACTCGTTCTGTATTAAGACCTCTTATGGGACAGTTTGTTAAGGCTACTCATTTTAGATGAGCAGTTGTTCTACTGTGTATCCTAAGCTATCGATTAAAAGTTGTCTGCCTAAGACCAGCTAATGTGAACAACTATGGCTTCAATTGCCCCACTGATGTTAAGAAAGAGTCACATATGAAATTAAAGCCATAAGGCCTTCACCCACAGAGAGCTTTTTATTTTTTTCTTTTTTGGCCTCTGAGTATCTAAAATAATACAAATGATTCCTTATTACAAAAGAACTCCTTCCAGGGAAGTAAAGCAAGAACAAGCAAGCAACCCTACCCACAAAAAGCATACAGCATTGCCATTCAGCTGGGGGTGCATTCAGTGGAATGCTGGAAAAAATCTTTGCTTCTACTAAGTGCCTTTTTGTTGGGCAGAATGTGGAAACATTTGTTGAATGAGAAATGACAGAAGAATGTGCAAAAAAAGCCCTTAGTGTCTACAGGAATGTGTGGAAGTAAAGGCCTATTTGTAAACCCCAACTCATCTTAAGAAAAAAAACACATCCTTGAGGGAGAAGAACATAAGGGAAGAGATTGAGAAGCATTTGTGGCTCCAGAGTGAAATATATCTATTCAAGTAACAACTGTGCATGTGAGCTCAAGGTTTATTGCATGCTTTTGATAGAAATTATCCCTTGGAAAAGATACATAGGTATATGTATGCTTCCCCTGGAAGCATCTGYATCTGATGTGGTTCCAGTAAAAGAAACTTTGAGATCTTTACACAGGTCAACTGAGAATCCATCTTCTCCTATGAAATCATAATTTCCTAGAATAAAATACAGAAGGACAGGACWAAGAAAGCTATTTACCTTCCTGTAAATGATGTTCTCTGAGAAGCATTGACAGTAAATAAATTCTGCAACTTGGCTTGCTTTCTTGCTACTGAGGTGTTGTATGAGATCTGGGCTCTTGGTGCCAATGGAGCTGAGTTACAGGTGAGCTTGCTCTGAGAGCAGTCTGTGGAGATACTCAGAAACCATCCCAGTGGACAGTGCTGGCCAAAAGACTCTGATCTGGAGTAAAGAAATGCATGTTCATTAAGAGTGGGTTACAGCTCTGGAGTGTAGGCATCTAAATGTGGGTATCTCCATGTGAGTTAGGAGTATTAGCTCATCATAGAGGCTATCATCAGCAGAGGCTTGATTCACTTGCCCACAAATAACATCTAGTGCTGTTTGGAATGCCTTGATTTCCTAGCTCTCCAGGTCTCTTGGAGAGCTGGAGTCCTCTCTGCCAGCTCTCCATATGGATGTCTTGGATGTTTGAGAGCATCTCAAATGTCACTGTGGTGTGTGCAGGCAACTGATATGAGCCCTGGCGTCCTCTCAATAGAGTCAGTGGAGTCTGGAGTTTGATAAGGTCCAGGTGTCTGTTTTAGTGTGAGCTGACTACCGTGGAACTGAACTCCAATACTGACTTAGACGTCTAGCTCACATGTAGGCACGAACATTTAGACACCTACATTTAGGGTGGAATTCACGTCCAGATTGGAGACACCCAAGTGTGGAGTACCAATGGACGAGTTTTAAGGACTCTGCTTTTTATAAGGTAAGTGGGTTTTTACCTTCTATCCCTCCTTTTCTCAGCCRTTCCTCAGTTACCTGGTCCTGTTTCTGTTACAAGACTTTTAATTGTCAAATTAATCTTTTTTTTTTTTTAGGCACCCATGTAGTCATGGAATGTAACATATCAAGTGGCATAAATGGCCTGATTCCATTCTGGACAGTTAATGATGACGATGTTGATAGCTTTGATAGCACTTACAAAGAACAGTTTTATGAGTAAGTATTCTTATACTTCTTATACTTTGGATTCTAAGTAGATTTCTAGATCAAGCAGTGAATCTGCCAAAAGGTGATCAGTAGTAAACATCACGTGATATTGAAAAAGTGTTTAGAAGTCTGCATCAAATATATTGTATTCTTATCACTTGATTTTAGCATGTGGAATATATACAGAATGTAGTCCTGTGAAAGCTCTAAGTAGGATTGATATTTCAAAGTAAGTCATCTAAGATCAATAAAACCAATCTGTAAAGGAGCAGTGATAATCCAATATTATTATTGCAGCGCCCTCTCCCTCCACACACACCAACAATTTAACTTGCGGAGCATTTGCTGCTAGCAAAGTCCACCGTAGGCAAGTTGCACATTCTGGACTCCTGCAGAGAATGGTAAATTTACCCTAGTTAAAACTAACTTGGATAGATGTGAACATGTTGCAAAATAATTATGTTTGCATTAGGACCCTATATACTTAACAGATCCTATATATGCAACTACAAGATCCTATATACGTAACTATATACGTAACATAAACCGGTTCTTTGAGATGTTCTGCAAAATTAATCTTGCTTTGCGTAAGGCTGTATTGTCATAGGGCATGATGCCACTTTGTAGGCACCTCCCAATTGCTGCCTTTCCATCACAGGTAACTTTTTTTTTTTTTTTGCAGCAGGATAATTTGCAAGTATTTAACAGCAGATATTTAACAGAATGTCATATTATATCATATACTGCCACAAGAGGCACCAAGCCTTTTGTGGCGCCAGATCCTGGAAATAAAGGTCTCAGCACCATGTTTGTCATCATTAAGTACCAGAGTCACCAGCTCTCCTGCAGCTCCTTCATCATTATTTTCCAAACTGGTTGATGACATGGACTACGGACTACTATTAACATTGCAAGCTCAGGGAGTCTGTAAGCTTAGAATAGTCTCATGAACAACATAAGGAATCATGGAAAGTGCCTTTTGTGCTTACATTTTTATTACTAGTTATTTCCAGTTTAATTAGTTCAAAACAAAATGAACATGTTCATTTTTCAAATGCCCAGTCCGCTCTAGTCTAGAAGCCTTTTGTCAAATGGCTGGTATTTATTGATCACTTCACTGGCCTTGTAGGTTTCAAGAATTTAAAAGAGAATGTTTTTGTATTTGTAGGCAGATGAGTCTGTCTTAGGTTAAGCATTAGTGTTTTAACTTTTCTAGTAGCATTTCATTTTTACTCTTTTTTTTTCAATAACAGAGAAGGGATGCCTCATGGACTTACTGTATCTGGAACAAAATTTAACATTTCAAAAGTGAAGATAAAGGACTATATGTATACATTTTTTTGTCACGTTATGTATGGTACTCAACAAATGACAGCATATATAAAATTGGAACGTCCAGGTAATGTATACAGTCTTGATAAAATGGTGATCAGTGGTGCTAACTTTTAAATCAATTTGACAGGCTAATCCCAGCTAAAACTGTATGATGTGTGTTTGTGCTAAATGTGCTAAATACATAATAATGCTAAATACAACTGTGGTTGAATTGTTGCAACAATTCCGTAGTGAAATTATGCCATACTTCCTTTATTACCAAAATGAAACAAAACAACACTTTTAGCCTGCTTTAGGTTCTCTCATTCAGCATATTAGAAACCTTTAATGAAACACTCAAAATAAAACGAAGCCAATGTATTCTTGAGTGAAATACCGTGTCACAATTTAGATGCTTGTACTTCAGAGTACAAACAGAGGAAACTATGTCTTTCCTCTGACATAGAAGAGCTCTGAGAATGGTAAATTCTCTAAAAGAACTGAAGGAGACAGTTTGGTCCAGAACAGGCTGTGTCAAGAGAAAATGAAGACTTTTTGTGCACCTGGTTGTCCTGTCCTTCAGTAACAAGCAGTAGACTCAGACTGCTAGGGGAAATATAAATTGTTTAGACAGGAGAAAAGCTCTTCACAGGAATGATAATGAATCACAGGAATGATAATGAAGGGGCATAGATTTCATGGGAAGGTTACAGTTTGCATTGACATTGAATGTCCTGCATTATTGCCTCCTGGATAGGCTTATGTGTCTTGATTGGGCTCATCCTGCCACTTGCTGGACACCCCATACTGGGAGACCAGTATGGTCCCAAACTGGGAGGCCAGTTGTCAGCTAGTCTGAAATATTTCCATTAGGTAGACTTTAAAGATAAAATGAGTTCTAAAAACTCAAATGCAAGACTAAAGAAATTCAGTATTTTTAATTAGAAAGAAGTGCACAGAAAAAAAAGCACCAGATTTTTTACTGTTGCATTTTTTTGAGTTTAACTATAGAAAATTCTCTGATCTGTTGAGCTACAGAGGTGGATCTGCCAGTTGAGAGTCAATCCTTTGACGAACGTTATTTTCAGATTTACTTTTTTTCTGGTCACTTTTTAAATAAATTGCTAGCTGAAAATGGATCTGAGCTCTAGTGTGCTACCTGACTATAAATAATATGCATACAGTAGATTAAGGTATTCCTTGTCAGGGTAGGATTTGAACTTGAGAAATCCTTTAATATACATGAATCAAAAACTACAGTTCCGCTAAAAACAAAACGAATGGCAAGTCTTCATAGAGGTTAGACACAATRAAAAGCTATTTACCCTGGGGAGAATGGTCAGTAAGTCATTTCCCCAATTGACTTTCTGACTGATAATATTTTGTATGACAATTCTCACTCTTCTGCTTCAYGGTACCTGTATAACAATAGTTTTGTGTTTTGATTGAAAAATAACTGCGTTTGTCAAATTGGTAAGGTACCTTTTTAAAATATGAAAATGACCTATCAAATAACAATATTTGTTGAAAGCAGGCATAAAGAATCGTTAGTCCTATTCATTCATTATATTCTAGAATCTTTTAATGACTGAACAGTTTTTAAGGACCTAGCTGCCAGTTTTAAACATTTGGGTTTTTTTTTTCCATTTCAATATATAACTTTTTTCCCCTCTTTCTCTCTTTTTTTTCCYACTTTCTATTGCAGCTCCAAGTATTCAAGGTTACTTAATTGGAGGAGGAGTTTCTTTGGTATTCTTAGTATTTTTTGCTGTCTTTGTCTACAAGATCTTCAAAATTGATATTGTGCTGTGGTATCGCAGCTCCTGCCATCCTCTCCTGGGTAAAGAAGGTATGCTTTTGTAGCAGCACACATGTACTTTCAGTGTGTGTCATGTGTGGTAAGGAATAGATTGCCTCTGTCTTCCCTACAAAGCAATGTATTAACCTGCTGGACTGTGACTGAGCCTTCAGGAGATTTTTCAAAAGATAACACACTTTTAGGGTGTTTAAGGTTAGTTTAAAAGCGGATATAGGGAGATGTCAGCATTGTTCATACCATTTAATGTTAAATCCTGACTTCTGCATTATCATTTCCCTTAAAGCTTCACTTAAGTGGTTTCAAAGCACAGGCTATTCTGACAGCAGTTCTTCYGAATTCCTTTAATTACTATTCTTATAAAAAGCAGTAGTATAAAGGAATTACTTTTTTCATGGAAAAAGGAGAACAAATTTCACATTCTTTTTCCTGTTTGAGGGCACTTCTGGTTATTTTTCATTCTGTCAGTTCCTGGCATTTGCAGTAGCATYGATGGTGTGCTGCCTGCGACAGCAGGATGCTGACCCAGGGTTCCTGTGAGGAAGTGCCTCGCTAGAGCAGCAGCTAATATCTACCAGAGGTACCGAGTTACCTGCTGGATTTCTTTAAAGTCTTTTAAATTGAGCCTCTCTGAAAAATTTGTTACAAATATTAAATCTACTTCTGATATTCTTGAAACATAGTGTGTATTTGGGTTTTGTTTTCATGTCTAAGTGCTGTTTGTGTTTTGAAGCTTCAGGTTACAAAAATGACTTGCTACTTACATGCAGTTTTGACTTTTAAAAGGTTGTGTTGTACTGCTGGAATAGTTGCTTTCCAGATAATTCAGTGGTAATGTTTTTAGTTTAGGTTTAAGTAAGCAATACTCAGACCTACTTAATTTTATTTATTTATTTTGCCTATTCACATTGGGGCTACTGAATTCTCAAGGCCTGGATTTTACAGTTATTCAACCTCAATATAATTGTATAGGCTTAAGCAGTAGAAAGGTTAGACAGGACAATTCTTTAAGTGTGTGTGTGGAGAAATAAAATTTTAGGGATTGTCTTTGTATTTAGAGTCCATTTTTTATGTTAATCCTGTTGCTGACGTTTCAGTTTCAGATGGGAAGATCTATGATGCTTATGTCCTSTATCCAAAGAACAGAGTGAGCTGCTTGTATTCCTCAGATATTTTTGCTCTGAAAATATTGCCAGAGGTCCTGGAAAGACAGTGTGGATATAACCTCTTCATATTTGGGAGGGATGATCTGCCAGGAGAAGGTAAGCTACCTGAAGCTTGATGTCATACTTGAGTTTTCTCACTGAGTGCAGAAACAAACAAATAAAGCAAATAAAGCTCAAGTGAGACAATCAGGTGTGGTGTTAAATAACTCCCCTCATGAGCTATGACTTTCATATCCTCCCTAGAGAATGAGAGTTACAGCAGTGGGTGCTCCCATGAAGTCCTCTCTGTCTCAGCCATTTCCTTGCAATGAATTAGGTCTTCTGGGTTCTTATTTTTTTGTTTACATAGTAGGGTTTTTTTCTTGTTTGTTGGTTTGCTTTTGTTACTGCTGCTGTTTTCTTTTTTGTTAGTACCTGGCTAACCTGGGGATGGAACAATGCTCAGGTAAAGAGGAGCTGAAGTATTAGTTGTGAATGATAGTGGTAGGAATGGTAGCAATGTGAATCTTGGACCTGGTGTGAAAAGAGCTTGTTGCTGTGAGGTGCCATTAGACAGAAGATGTTCTCTTCACTTTTATTTGCTCTGAGGAGCAGTCTAACTGGAGGACTGCCATAAAGGGGGTGGCARATGCTCAGGTACTACAAATTAAGAAAAATGAATACAAAACAACAGTATGCTATCAGGAAAGAATAGCTGTCTATAGTGAAAGTTTTTACAAACTGTTTTGCAAGAGTTTTAAGAAAATCATTGCAAATGTTTCCTKAATAACACACAAAACTTACTTAAAATTTAGCATCTAACACTCGARATTGCAGTCTTCTCCGTTGACTGATTTTTGTGAGATATAAGAGAAGAGCCTCCCGAGTCTTTCAGTCTTATGACTTCAAAAATATAATTTGGGGACAGAATAGATTTGGTGAAAAGGTCTTAAAAGTAAAGTTTTGTTTAAGCAATTTTTGCAGGCGTAAGGGAGCAAGCTTAGATAAGGTCCTTTATGTCGTTGTCACTTCTTAGTCATCTCAAGACCATTGGTGCTCATGCAAAGGAGAAGGGCTCCCTCAGAAATACAGTCCAAAGTGGTGTTTTTTTTTTTTTTTTTTTTTTTTTTTAACTTTCATACCCAGAAAAATGTAGTGGCCTCTTCTCAGAATTAAACCATATGTGCTTTGTGTGGTAGTTACAGTGTTTCTCTGTTTCCGAATTGAAAGCCATTGAAGAGAGTATTCTGTATTTTCACTGAAATTTACATCTAATGAAAATATATTAAACAYATCAGAACAAGCTGTTTAAGAGGAAAGGACATGGTTTTACCAAAGGCTTAGCCTGTCTAGCCTGGGGTTTTGGGCATTTTTTTCTTGTTCGTTTGCTTGGTATTGGAGTTGCCCTTACAGTGATAATGAATGTCAGCAAGTAGGTAAATAGTAGATAGTTGGTTACTCCTGTTGGTTTAGGCAAAACAAGAACATAGGAATGCAGTCTGATGTGCCCAGATTATGTTGCATTAGGCAAATCTCCACTTGTCAGCTGCTGCGTTGTGATTTCTTGCTTACTCTTACCCTGTCCCTAGTTATGCAGTAATGTGTTTGGGTTTGAATATCGCGTAAATGGAACAGCTGCAACATAACACTAGCAAGATRGAAACATAAAGCTTGAATTTTGCACAACCTTTGTCTCTCTGCAGCTGTGATCAGCATTGTGGATGAAAAAATACGCCAAAGTAGAAGAGTAATAGTTGTTTTAGTACCSGAACCGTCCTTTTACAGTATCCTGGAAGATGCATCTGAAAAGCAGCTAGCTGTGTATAACGCTCTTACCCATGACGGCATCAAGGTAATCCTGATTGAACTYGAAAAAATACAGGATTATGCAAGCATGCCAGAATCCATCAAATACATTAAGCAGAAGCATGGGGCTATCCGATGGAAAGGGGACTTCTCGGAAAACTCCTGCTCTGCAAGTACCAGGTTCTGGAAGAACGTGCGTTACCACATGCCATCTAGAACACACGCATCCTCCTCAGGATTGCACTTGCTACCAAAAGGCTTCAGTTCACCCCAGATTACCTCAGAAGAATGATGCCTTGTGACTCTGCAGTTCACATYGGTGAAGATGGGTTCACTGAAGATCGCTTGTATCTGTTTTGTACAGATAATCTTATCCAAATTTTCTGGATTAAAGGTACTGCAACATCGTCTACGGATATGAAGTGTCCTTCCTTCTGGCTAGATCGACAGAACACCTTGAAATGTCATCAGTAGCATAGAGATGGCATGAAGAAGAACAGATGAGAAGTGCATAAGGACCAAGAMATGTGCTGTGATTTGTTGGGTTTTGTTTTGATTTGTTTGTTTCTGGTAATAAAATTGCAAGGGTAGAAAAAATGTAAAACAAAACCAAAAACAGCAGAAAACTTTTTAGCAATTCAAGGTTGAAAATGAAGGAAACTGTATTTAATTGTGATATTGTGTAATGGACTTGGTTGATGCCCGTAATATATTTTTCTCTCTTTTTTTTTTTTTCTAAATGAAGTGACCTAAACTTTATTTGTTAAAAAGTCATTATTTGCTGCTTTGTTTAGTTTGCTCAAAAAGAAATACATATGTTGTTTTGTTGCTGTGATATGCTGCAAGAGAAAAGGTGAGAGGTAATSCTGTCTCCCAGCAAAATAACTATTGAACCTGCGTGTAAACTCTCCTCCCTGATCTGTGACTCTTTTCCATTCCRAGGAATTGTGGGTTTTTTTACTTGTTTGTTCAACTGAAGCGTTATAAAAATATCATTGTCGTGTTGTGCCGAGATATAAAGCTCTAATCCCTGAAGGATTTTCCTTTTTCAATTAGGTCCTTAAATACCTTTGTCCTTATTGCCAGTGTGGAGCAGTGAGCTAATGACAGAGATTCTCTCGTTGGATGGTTAACTTGAGTTATTTTCCCCCCACCTTAGGGACCAAAATCAGGGTTCTTCGGAGCAAAATTAGGCTGCAGAGCTGAGCTGCCCTCCTGGAGGGCAGGTCTTCCCCCTGGTCCCCACTGGAGCACTCGTGACAAACCAGAAGACACTACTGTGGCAGAAGATGCTATTTTCCCTGGGTTGAGTTTTCTCCTARATCAGTGAGTTTATGGCATTCCCCGAGGGGCCAGCAGTGTAAAGGGAGAAAGAAAGCGGTAACAGGGCTGTGCTTTTTTGGCTCCAAGTGCATTTGAAATAATAAAATAGCCTTGCTGTGCAGAACCCTTTAAATGTGCTGGGCTGCGTCGCCCCCAGGAGCTGCCTGTCTCTGTTTTTGTTCCTCCTCTGCTCTCTGCCCTCCTGCCTGTCCCCTGGTTGTGTGAGGGCTCTGGAGTGACCTGTGCTACCAGAGTCACAGCTTCTGTCACTGTTGGGCAGGGTGGTTTGGAAAGGGAGGTTGCTAAAACTGGCTCTGCACCTTCTCTGTTAATGTACAGCACGCTTTTGCTAACTCTGAACAGTGGTGTAGGTGCAAAGTTGGATTTGGGGGATTGATTTTATTTTAGAAAATCAGCAAATATGCTTAAAGGCACGTTTATAGCTATGTGTTTTACTGGAGGAGCTATGGAAAGCTAAATTGTCAGTGCTTTTTAATCTCTGCTTAATAGCTTACATTTTTCAAGTTTTTGTGTAGGAAAGCCTAAAGATTTGACTGTTACACCCTATGTACTCGGAGTACAAGATATATGTAGCTGTTCTCACCAGCACTTCAGCAAATGTCCATGTTTTCTGAGTTGTCTGCCAACCTGGAAACAGAACTGTGGTTGCAGCTAGTATCCRTGGACATTGACTGCTTTTGCTGCTGGTGGTTTTAACTGGTGGTTTGTTTATAAAAAGAARTATTTTTGGTGGTTTATTTTTTTAATGTATGGGTAATGATCAACGGAATGTATTTCAAGGGACAAAGTATATAATGGCTGTGCTACTTGTGCCTGGGTAGGCAAAAGGTTRCTTACGAGAAACACGCAGGTAGGGTAAGGCAGGTATCTCTGTGGACTTTTCTTGATACATGTCATGTCATAGTGGCAGGTTCTGTCCAACTCTAGCTTTTCCCCAGCATTTCTACGTGGAACTTAGCTTTTAAATGGCAAAACTCTGCAGAGACATTCAGGAGGAGACTCCCCAGCAGGCTGTTCGATTTGCTCACAGTAGGAGGGAGCTGGGAGCTTCCCACACCCAGTTTCAGAGGTGCCTTCAGCCACTTCTCCACACTCAGAATTCCCATTCGTGCTCACATTGTGTCAGCTCCTGCCTTGCAGCACCTTCTGTTCTCCTCCCACTCCAATTCCAGTCTATCTTTTCCCGTATATCTCACTTATTCTGGAACCATCAACTTGCCGTGTCAAGATGCATCAAGCAGCCTGGGAGACTGTTGCTTCTACAGCATTAGGCAGATTTTTCTTTTCCTTTGGCATTATTTTTCATATTTCCACTTGTTGATCTGAAAAAAAAATCTATATCCTTCAAAATATTTCTGGTTTGAGGACTGCTCCTTTGGCATGGCAGTGTTGACTTTTTTCATGGCTCAAGTATTTTGTCTCCATCCTTAGCAAAAAAAAAGGGATAGTATGAGGTACCATTCCCTAGAAGAGGAGGTTTAGTGGATCATCTGACTCATCCTACCCTTGTGTTTGGCCTGATGGGTGACAGAAGCACTGGAAATAGCTTCCTCTCCCACCTAAGGTTATTTGGTTACCTGAGTATATGCTGGAAACTGACAGCTGATGCCTCCTCCTGATGCCTTGTGCCTCTCTTGGGGAGAAATCCAGCCTTCCTGAAAACATCTTTTGGCCTTGTCAGTCCTTCTCTGACATTGTTCATCCCACGTCCTACTGTGGGAAATAGGGCAGCATAATCATGCTAGATATCTTGGAACAAAAAAAAAAGAGACAGAAAGTAACAGTTCCCAACAGCTGCTTATTTAACTTGTTCTTAAAAATTTCTACTGTTAATTTAATTTATCTTTTGCCAGAATGGGATAAGAAGAAAGGAAAAAAGATGCATTTGAATTGTCTTGAGGTTATTTCAAACTGTCACAGYACTGAAATACTTTACTGCTGAATGTTATATGTGTATGGTTCTCTCCTGTTCCATTCTGTGTTTTATTCAGTTTAAGACTGAAATCTTCGGGGAGGAACATATCCGGATATAAARTGCTATGTTCACTTGGCCATTGCACAGGATCTGCTTTTCAATGTGGTCTGAGTTTGTTGATAGTTGGTTGTAGGTGGAAGAACTTTGGGTAGCTGAGATGCCTCTGAGCAGGAGCATTGCACTAAGTGTCACAGCTCGCAGCCAGGTGTAATTGGTGGAAGGATTTAGAGACGGACAGAAGCTGTACAGTTTGGTTTCAAAACTCTCTGGAAGAAGACCCCTATTTTGAATGTGAAGACTAGACACTGGAAGTACCAAATTCGTGCTCTGAGGACTGAAGTATGATAACACCAACTTGCATTTCCATCCAGACAGCTTGCAGGATGGAGGCCTTYGGGATTTCAGCAGCCTTGGGCCACCTGCGTGTTTTTGCTGACTTAAATGGATTATGAAAAAGTGTAACTTGATATCCCTAACTCTGGTGGAAAGTTGTTTGAGCCAAAATCCTGTTTTTATATTTGCACCTTTTGATATATTTGTACAAGAGATGCTGCAGTTTTCATATATGTGATGTAAAGACACTTTGAAGAAACGTCCATTTTTTAATGCAATAAAACACTATATACATAAATATAGATATATTCTTTTTATGGTGCTGCTTTTTTCACCTCTGTGCATTCAGGCAGCCTTATTTTGAAGTGTCAGTAAACAGAGCAGTTTTATTAGCCCTGCTGTTGCTTGCAAGAAAGTGTTGTGAAGGAAGGGTCTCCTTAACCATCACATTAATCATGGGCTCGGTACATTTAGCACAGTTTAGCCAGGGGAAATAAGGGGGTCCCAGAAGGAGACATGAAGGGCATCTCGGCTGTAGGGGAGATAAAGCCTGTACCTGGCTGCGTGGGGAAGTGTTAGCTTCTGATCTGATTTAGGAAAGCAAGAGCTTTGGAGGGAGTGCTGTAGGGGCCGGTCCTGCTGTCYGTGACCCACACAGACCGTTCCCCTGGCAGAGGAATCCAGTCCCTTAGCAGAAAGGATCCCATCTCGCTTGAGACTGGCTGGGAAGGCAGCGTTGCAGCAGGGGATGCCCGGCAGTGACTGCTGCCTTGCTCTGCCACATGCCTCGGAGAAACTTCTCTGAGGTGCTTACGCTGCCCTGACCTTCTTTCAGGGTGCACATGCTTATGTTTCATTAAACAGAGCCAATTTTGTGTGTCTCTCCTTGTGCCTTTTTGCTAACCTTCCAGGGAAGTTTGATACTAGCATGTGAAATTCAGTCTCTTCGAAATGCAAAAACATCTAGCAGGAGATTATTCGTAATATTTAGGAGTGACTCGAGCACTGAACATGCTTGCTTTGCAATTAAAACTTGCAGGGGGTGTTTTTGTGACAGCTTTGCTACACAGGCAAGGATCAGTCACATACGAGTATTTACTGCCAAAGAAAAGCCAAGTAATGTTGAACTGGCTGTTCGAGTCATGCAGTTTCTGGAAAGTGCCCTGACATGCCGGGGATCTGAATATCAGATCAGCCTTAGGCACTCCGGAGTGTAGGAAACGGTTTCTGGAAATAGTGGCAAGACTGTGCAGCTTTATTTGCTGAATGCAATTTACATGCTTTACTGAAGGGCTGCTGCTGGGGTCGGCCAGGGAGAGCAGGAACTGCCCCCCGTGGGTTTTGTGGGCACCTCTGTCAGCAGTGGTGTCCGTGCAGGAGCTGCGCTTGGTTTGGACGTGATGAACGATGATGGGGGCAGAAGCCACGGTGGATTTTGCCCTTTCTGCTGCACTGTTTTGTTTGCACTGAATAAAGGCACGACAGGATGACTGCTGTGTTCGGGCAGGAGGAAGAAAGAACCACAAGAAGCCATTGCCTTTTGAAGGGCTCGTGCTGTCACGATGGGCAATGCAAAGGAGGCCTCAGGTAGCGCTGGTGAGATTTTGCATGGCCTCTGTTGGGTAAGAGCTCACAGAAGCAGCAGTTCTGACTCTTGTAAATTCTTACTGTTTTGTTCTAACAACTTAGATTAACTTTATTCTGCCAGAAAAAAAAAAAAATAAAAAATAAATAAAAAAAAAACCTTTTATGGTCAACTCAAAAATCTCAGCTGGGAGTGAAGGCCAGAGGCACTAATACAATTGGAGGCACTAATAAAGACTTCACGCTGACAGTGTATATTTCAGGGAGCTTTTACTGGCTAGAGAGAGATTTCAGAAGGAAGGTAATAGAAAGTTTC